CAAAAAAAAAAAAAAAAAAAAGGAAGTGAAGTTGAGGTATAAAATGGATAGATCAAGAGTTTAAAATAGAAAATAAACCTGATCTGAGAAGAGTGAAGCTAAGTCAAAATCAAAGAGCTCATCAAAGATGAAGAAGAAAAAGCAGAGGCCCTTATGTGAGAAAAGTGTGATGTGTAGTGATGGTGTTTTCTTCTTCTTTTTTGCTTTTTCTTTTTTTGGCTTTTTCTTTTTATTTATATTTATTTGAAGTCTGCTTCTGACGAGTGGGCATGTTGTGTTTGGTTTACGGTTTTTAATTTTATTCTATAAAAGCGCGTTAGATAATTGTCAGCTATTCATTATTAGGAGGACGTGGTCGGAACGGGACCCTATGGGCTAATTCAATTATTACTAACAATTGAATTGGGTTTACTATATTAGTATGGGCTTGTTCTACTGATGAAGCCCATCTATCTGCATTCTCATTGCCCAATAGTAATTTCTTAGCATAAAAATCGTAGGATGAAGTATGTAAATAATAATGTATAGCCGCTTTCAAAATAATAGCAAAATATATATATATATTCTGTATGTTATATATAAAAATTATATAAATTTTATATATTTTTTTAGCTACCAAATGTAAATAGTTTGTAGCATGGGTTAAAAGTGATAATACTCCTTTCATTATACACACTTAGCGTAAAAATTGCACGGGGCGCCCTATTTGGTCGCCCCCATTTAACCTATACCCACTTTTTAAATAACTTCATGCCTCTTTCTCCTCCTCCTCCTCCTCCTCCTCCTCCTTCTTCTTCGGGTGACATTATTCTTTCCTCTAGATGATATTTATTGTTCTTCACATAAAGCGAAGCTCTTGGATTCAGGAAACTTGGTTTAATTGATGATTTGTCAGGTAAGCCACTATGGCAAAGTTTTGATGAATCCATTGATACCTTCCTTCCTGGTATGAGGATGGACGACGGGAAGTTCAAGTTGACTGCTTGGAATATTACCCAAAAGGACCCAAGCACTGAAGTGCATCCTATAGGAGCTGAAGTTGAACAAATACTAAACAAACTCCAGCTCCTAAAATGCTGAAGTTCAGCAGATACTAAACAAACTTCAGCTCCTAGAATGCTGAAGTTCAACAATTACAAAACAAAAATTTCAGCCAAAATTGTTGAAGTTCAACAATTATTGAATTGAAGTGCATCCTCTAAGAGCTGAAATTCAACAAATACTAAACAAATTTCAGCTCCTAAAATGCTGAAGTTCAGCAGATACTAAACAAACTTTAGCTCCTAGAATGCTGAAGTTCAGCAATTACAAAACAAAAACTTCAGCCAAAATTGCTGAAGTTCAGCAATTATTGAACTGAAGTCATCCTCTAGGAACTGAAGTTCAGCAAATACTAAACAAATTTCAACTCTCAAAATGCTGAAATTCAGCAGATACTAAACAAATTTCAGCTCCTAGAATGCTGAAGTTCAGCAATTACAAAACAAAAACTTCAGCCAAAATTGCTCAAGTTCAGCAATTATTGAACTGAAGTCATCCTCTAGGAACTGAAGTTCAGCAAATACTAAACAAATTTCAACTCTCAAAATGCTGAAATTCAGCAGATACTAAACAAATTTCAGCTCCTAGAATGCTGAAGTTCAGCAATTACAAAACAAAAACTTCAGCCAAAATTGCTCAAGTTCAGCAATTATTGAACTGAAGTCATCCTCTAGGAACTGAAGTTCAGCAAATACTAAACAAATTTCAACTCTCAAAATGCTGAAATTCAGCAGATACTAAACAAATTTCAGCTCCTAGAATGCTGAAGTTCAGCAATTACAAAACAAAAACTTCAGCCAAAATTGCTCAAGTTCGGCAATTATTGAACTGAAGTTTTCCATTGTACTATGAACTGAAGTTTGCGTGATTGCCTTTGCAAGTCAGGCCAAACTTCAGGCAAAAATATCTGAAAATTTACTTTGATAAGGCTACACTTCAGGCAAAACATTCTAAAGTTCAAACTTCAGACATAATTTTTTGCTATTTCAGGCCCGTATGCCTGAAGTTACCCGAAAAGTGAGTACGCTTGTAATTATTTTTGCAAAGCGGGTATAGGTAAAAATATGACCCAAAAACTGGGTATAGATGCAAATCCCCCCACTTAGCCCTCACGGTCGTTTGGTTGGAAAACAAGTTATTCCATGATTAATTATTTCGGGATTAGTAATCATATGATTAGTTATCTCACCCTCCCATAGGGATAAAAAAATACCACAATCCAGGACAACTAATTCCGGAATTATTTATACCACTATTTTATCTCAACCAAACATGGGATAAACTCATCTCAAATTTAATCCTCGGATTAATTATCCCTTATCCCTCGTATCAAACGAGCCTTCAAAGTATTGAATTTTTGTTCCCGTGTGCCCCATTAGTTGAACTTTGAATTTAATAAGTATTCCTCTTCGTTTGTCCCATGGACAACACTTTTAACTTTTGACCATGAAATTCTGCTCACGGGGCAAGTGGGGTTCAAAAGTTAATGACCACCAAAAAAAGTATCTTGCAATTTTTTTCAGCCCGATTTTTAAAAAATAATCAGTATTTGAAAATTAGTTGAAAGATAGCTACTTTTAATGCGAAAGCACTATGATAGTATCATAAATTTCTAACTTAAGCAAGTAAAATTATATAATAAGAAAAAAGTTATGTATTCATATACCAAACCTTGTAAATCGTCGAAGTAAAATTCAAAAACGGCAAAATCAAATATTAAAATTCTTTTCTACTTATGTTAGTGTAAGCATTTAAATTTTATCGAATTTAAATTCATAAAATAATTTGGACTATATTAAAATTAATATAATAGTCTCAATAAATATTGTGGTTAATACAATCGGATTGATTATTTAAGTCCAAATATATTGGGCTAGTCCGTTTAGCTGAACTACAAAAGATGAGCCCATTTTACTAGCCCAAGGTCCAAATGGCTATTAGGTCATCTTAAAGCCCAGGCTCATGCTACGTGTCAAGTGATGTGGCAATCCAAGTCAAAAGAACGAGCCAATAAAATCATGCGACGTGTCAAGTGACGTGGCAATCCAAGCCAAATAAATGAGCCAATTAAATCGTGCTAAGTGTCTAGATAGTATTGTTCAGTTCAAACAGACCAATCAAATCGCAGAGCCACACCACTCCCTGCAACTATAAATAGAGGTCTTCATAAAGCTAGAAGACACTAGAAGTGATAACAAGAAGCAAGCACAGAGTTTGTGGATCAAACACCGCAGATTTCTTTACAAGCTACAAGTTCAAGCACACGAGCCACAAGTTCAAGTTCAAGATCAAAAACGAAGGCAAATCAAATACCAAGGCGTTCAAGATCAAATTACTTGTTCGTGATCAAATCCAAATTCAAGTTTAAGAAGGAGATTCAAGACCAAACTTTACAAGCCCTTGAATCAAAATCAAAATCAAGTTCATCAAGATAGTTTACATTCTTGAAGAATCAGAGGAATACCATAGAGATTGTAACACTTAATATTTATTGAAATCAAATACTACATTTGTTACGCAATTTTCTAGTCTTGATTATTTATTTTTCTTGACGCGAAAATTTTTTGTTACAGTTAGTATTCACCAAATCTTGTATTTGGTTACAATATATAATCTTGTAATAGCTAAATTAACTAGTATTCGTAACTGGCGAAACACCTTGGATAGAATGCTTAAAGATACTAGTAACTATTTCAAAATTGTAGTTAAGTTATAGATTATTGTCATAACAAGTAAGAGAAGTAATTGGCAAGTTAGTGAACATGCACCAAATAAATAAGTTGCTTATCAATGGTCAACCAAGAAGACAAAAAAGAAAAAAGACTTTATGAGGAAAACAACCTATAGTAAATGCTTAAATAGTGATCATATTTTAGTAATCTACAACAAGTGTATTGACTTGATTTTTCTTTTCAGAATAATCTTCTTATAATTTATGTCTAAATGAATACATTAAAAGGCTGTCAAGGAAAAGAGTTCTCCAGTGAGTCAAATAGTTTTGAAGAATGGAAAAAATTACTGGAAAGGTATTTGCTTTCATGATGGTTACAATGATTCTTTTTGCAGGACAACTGATGGCTGATCAAGTTACCGAAGTATGTTTGTGTAGAAAATCGCCTCAAGGTTTGTCCTTTATAGTTGTTGTGGATAGCATAAGTGTTCATGTTCAACCAACATATATGATTTTAAAGTTTAAACTTAATGAAAAAGCTTAATAATTATACTATTTTTAGTGTTTTTCACATTTATGTTATAGGTTCAATTAAATTTGTATAGATCCATCTATGAGTATAATGTTGTTCATATTGTATTGTAAAAAGAAGCTTTGATTGACCTGTTCATATGTCTAGATATGTTAATGTATTAAAAGTTTTGCAGGTGAAACGGATGTCGAGAAATGTTTGAGAAATTGTCAAAACTATTGCCATATAACCCACACCAAAGGTAATTATTTACTATAGGGACATGTGGGGAAATCCGAACCTCTATGATCTTCCCCTCGTCCCCCTTTCTCTTTTTAGTTTTCACGGAAGCTACTCTTAATGCATGCTTTATATTCTGTTCTCAACTCATGTTTTGTTGTTAATTTATTTTGCAGCAAAAAATATGATTGAAACAAACCAAATATGCTTATGCAGAGTAGCATCTCAAGGTTTGGCCTTTATAATTTTGGGCCTTAGTTATAGAGTTATTCGTTATATGTGTGATTTTTCGAGATTTCATTGAAAATACTAATAACTTGTAATTTTGTTTGAATACTTAATTGAAATTTTTAGTTTTCTTAATAGATGTATGAAAGACAAATCAAGTGATAATCCAAATTTTATTCAAAAACTTATAATTTTATTCATTGCATAAATAAAGGACATATATATATATATATGAGATACTCATGACTTGTTTGCAATTATGTCAACTTTGTAGGTAAACATGATGTTGAAAGTTGTATGAGAAGCTGCAAGAGCTATTGCCATATCGACACCACTTCTTAGGTTTATCTAACAACTATTAATTGTTGTGGACCTTCATGTATTATTATGAATAAAAAAGCTTGATTCAAATATTTGTGTCCCTTATTTTTCATTCTTATGCGACTGATTAGAAAAATTAACCCATTAAGGACAATTTACGGCAAATCAAGTACTTTATTGCAATGAGTTTGTGAAAATGTTCCAGTAAACTCCTCTTTTCAGAAAACAATAAGCAAATAAGTAAATAGTTTTTGGGCAAACACTTAAATCCAATTAAATGGTGGCTTTCCAAACAAGCCCTTTAAAGTGGCTTAAAAATGGTGCAAATAGTTTCTTTAACTGAATGAAAAAGTATGAATGGAAGCAGTCAGAAAGCAAATAACAATTTAAACTACGCCGATTTGTAAGCCACCTTTGTGTTTTTTTGTTTTTTTCTACCATAATTTAGCCACTACATTTTAGAATAATTTTTAGTTTTTTTTATAATCGACTTACTTAAATTTCAATATTACAAGATAATTATATTTTTAGAAACAAAAAATAACCCTTTAGAAGATTGTGATATATGAAATGTCATTATTTTATCAACTTTGATTTTGTAATAATTAATACACAATACATGTACAACATACATACATCAAAATTAGCGTTTTACAAAAGTGTAGCTGCCTACATAAATAAATAAATAATTAAAAGTGACATATGTATATGTAAGTGAAAAACAATCAAATCTTTTTTTTAAAAAAGGGCAGATATATGCTCCTTTTTCTTATCCTTCGTCCGAGCTTGTAATTATATTTCATATTTTTTTCCTTCTATTAGAAATCACGGTTACATTCTCTTTTTTCAACTCTATACATACCCTGACAATCATGTTGTTGTGTATTTCCATAGGCATAAAACTACCTTTTACCTTATATTTAATTTTAATAGACTTCAAACTCAAATCTATATCAAGTTCCTTCGAGATTGCAACACCTAAATCTCCCTGAGAAGCATGCTCTTTTATCACGATCTCGTCTATTGTATAATTGGCATAACAATTTTCATTGTTCCACTTCCTAGAATGTCGAATTAACATTGTTCTGCTCGTCATTATTGTATTCGAATTCAGAATTGAAAAAGGAGATAATTCAATGCCGATTTTCGTATTTATAATTAATTAAAATATAATGAATGTGTACATTCAATTACGATTTCTTCTGTTAATACCTGTATTACTTTTGACGAAGCTCTAATGATTCACTTTCTGTGCAATCTCCACTTGCTGTATCAATGGCAGACGAAAAACAATCCAATCAAAATCAGTCGTAACACACACTTAAACGCACTCAAAACAACTATATGTTGTGATGACCCAAAATATCATCTTTAAATTTAATAAGTAATTTTGTGTTCTAAAACCTCGAAAAGCACCATTTATCATTTCTCGACTTGCGTGCGCAGTCCGTACAATTTTTCGGAAAGTTTTTATGTGAAAAATGGATTAAAATGGGAAATAGAGCTTTAAAACTCAACTAAGTTGACTTTGGTCAACATTTTGAGCAAACAAACCCGGATCAGTATTTTGAAAATTTTAGTAGGTATGTATCGTGATTTGTGACTTGGGCGTATGCCCGAAATCGAATTCTGAGGTCCCTAGCCCAAGTTATGGAATTTTGATGAAAAATTAAAAGCTTGAAAGCTTAATGATTTCTAAGAAATTACTGATGTTGAATTTATTGACCTCGGGTCCGTATTTTAGTTCCGGAGTCCGGTATAGGTCCACTATAATATTTATGACTTGTCTGCCGAATTTGGTGAGAATCGGAGTTGATTTGACGTGATTCGAACATCCGGTTGTAAAAATATAAGTTTTAAAGTTTTCTTGAAAACTTCCTTTGATTTGGTGTCCGATTCGTAGTTCTAGGTGTTATTTTGGCGATTCAATCGCGCGGGCAAGTTCGTATGATGTTTTAGAATTTGTGTGCATGTTTGGTTTGGAACCCCGAGGGCTCGGGCGAGTTTCGGATAGGCTACGGGATGATTTCGGACTTAGGAAATCTGGTTTTCTGTAGACTTCAGGCTTCTGGTGTGTTCTTGTTCGCGTTCGCGAAGGTACTCTCGCGAAGAGCAAATTGGGCTGGTACGTTTTGTGCTTCGCGTTCGCGACATAGTGATCGCGTTCGCGAAGGCTTGAGGTTCAAAGCTTCGCCTTCGCGATAGAAGCCTCGCGTTCACGAAGGGAAAGAGACTGGCCAGGAAAATTAGCATTCGCGTTCGCGAAGGGCATCTCGCGTTCGCGAAGGCCAAGCAGGCAAGCTTTGCGTTCGCGAAGAGTAAAATTTGACCGCACATAATTGTGCTTCGCGAATGCGAGGCACTGACCGCGTTCGCGAAGGGTAAAAATCCCAGAAACAAAACTTAAGTTCTGGAAATGGAGTTTCGACCCATTTTCAATTCTTTCCCATTTTTGAGCACGGGTTAGGCGATTTTTGGGCGATTTTTACGGGAAAACATTGGGATAAGTGTTCCTTATCCTATATTGATTATATTTCATGATTTTATACTCATTTATATCATGAATCAGTGAATTTATGAAAGAAAAATCAGATTTTTATAAAATCTTCCAAAAATAAAAATTTAAGATTTGAAGGTCCATTTGATATCGGAATTGGACAAATATGGTATGGTTGAACTCGTATCGGAACGAGTGTTCGGATTTCGTAATTTTTTCCGAAATTTGAGACGTGGGTCCCACTGCCGAATATTTTAATGAATTTTGAATTTTATCCGGAAAATTTATAAATTCTTATGGAATTAATTCCTATGATTAGTATTGAATATATTGAATTATTTTTGAATAGATTTGAAGCTTTCAGATGCAAATTTAAAAGGAAAAGTTGTGGTTGAATAATTGATTGGAGTTTGCAAAGCGAGGTAAGTGTCGGGGTTAACCTTGACTTGAGGAAATAGAACCCTTAAATTGTTTATTATGTGAATTGCATGTAAACGACGTATAGGCGAGGTGAAGAGTGTCTATACGTCGTCAAATTAATTGTTTGCCTACTTACTTTAAAAATCACAAATTGTTTTTAATCATAAATTAATTATTATAATAATTGCTTCTCTCTTATTCTTTGCAAATATAAATTCTTGAATTCCTGCATTAATTGTTACATGCTATTTGAATTATGTGCCTTAATTGTTATTTGACATTTAGCATAATAAATATTAAACTGCCTATTTGCTCCCTGATTTCCATAATAATTTGCTATTTGTCATTGTTTGCTTCATAATTAAACCATAATTATTGTATGCTTGTTGTCTTGTAATTTTATATTAATTGTTATATTTATTGGGAAAATTTCTTCTATAAGAATTGGTAAATAAAAATATTGGAGGAGCGGGTTGCACGCCGCAACATGATTAATTATAATGAATATATTGGAGGATCGGGTTGCACGCCGCAACAGACTTATTAAAAGTCTATATTGGAGGATCGGGTTGCATGCCGTAACAGACTTATTAAAAGTCAATATTGAAGGATCGGGTTGCACGCCGCAACAGACTTGTTAAAAAGTTAATATTGGAGGATCGGGTTGCACGTCGCAACATGATTAATTAAAATGAATATGTTGGAGGAGCGGGTTGCACGCCGCAACAGAACTGAATGTGGATATATTGTGAGAGCGAGTTGCACGCTGCAGCAGAATTGGTTGAAATAATAATGGATTTATGACTGTTGGGTTGGTTTCAATTATTATAAATGAGTTACATGATTTATTTATATTATTTGTTGTTATTATCAATATTGCGTACAGGTTAATGTAAGTGAACCGCCTTAGCCTCGTCACTACTTCGTCGAGGTTAGGCTCAACACTTAACAGTACATGGGGTCGGTTGTACTGATACTACACTCTGCACTTCTTGTGCAGATTTTGGAGTTGGTCTCAGCGGCGTACCATAGACTTGCTCGGATTTCAGCTACCAGTGGAGACTTGAGGCATAACTGCATGGTGTCCGCAGTTCTGAAGTCCCATCTATTGTACTTTAGTTGTGTGTTTATTTTCAGACAACTTTATTTTATTCAGACCTTTATTTATATTTATTCTAGAAGCTCGTGCACTTGTGGCACCAATTCTGGGATGGTATTTAGACACCGTTGTTATTATGGATTATTTTAAAATTTCTTCCGCATTTGCTTCCTTGTTGTTAATAAATTTAAAATTGTTTTAAAAATGGATAATGTTATTCTAACGTTGGCTTGCCTAGCAAGTGAAATGTTAGGCGCCATCACGGTCCGAAGGTGAGAATTTCGGGTCGTGACATATGTTGTATCGATGAATCTTCATCTGTAAATTTGGATGTTGTAAAACTATGGAAGTAACAAAGGAGCAGAGCTCAAGCTTGAGCTCCAATGGTGGAACCCTAGTAGGTTCTCGAAGAAGAACATGGAAATGAGGCGGTTATGTGAAATAAACCGACTAAATTGTATTAATCTCTCAACTGAGTATATATACACGTGTGAACTATTTATGACTAATACTAGTTGGCTAATGCCATTCTAACACAATATGTGTGTGTGTGTGTGTGTGTGTGTGTGTGTGTATATATATAATACTAGTTGACTAATTTCATGCTAACACAATTAACTAACTACTAAAATACACTATCTCAATACCTCCCCTTAAGTTGGAGGTGAAGATGTCACTGCCAACTTGCTCATAACTGTTGCATGCTTGATGCCAGTAAGTGCTTTAGTTAATACATTAGCCAACTGATTATCAGTCCCAACATGATTAAGAGACACCAGTCATTTCTGTAATTTATCTCTTACAAAATGACAGTCTACTTCACTGTGTTTGGTCCGCTCGTGGAAAACAGGATTTCGAGATATATGTAGAGCAGACTGACTGTCACAAAATACTGTGACAAGTTTAGAAAATGGAACTGTTAGCTCATCAAACAGTCTGCACAACCAAACAAGCTCACCAACTACATTTCTGAGGGCTCTATACTCTGCTTCAGCAGAAGAGAAAGATATGGTGGCCTGCTTCTTGGACTTCCAGCTAGTGGAATTGTCACTAAGGAGCACCAGATACCCACTAACAGATTTCCTAGAATCTGGACAGGCAACCCAATCAGAGTCACAATACCCTCTAACTGTGCAATCTGGGCTTGCAGACATAAAAATCCCAAGAGTAGGATCAGCTTTCAAGTATCTAAGTAAGTGGTAGGCAGTCTTGAGATGAGGTTCCCTGGGATCTTGTATGAATTGACTGAGGTGCTGGACACCATAGGCAATGTCCAGCCTTGTATTTGTGAGGAAGTTCAATTTGCCTATCAAAGTTCTGTAGAGAGAGGGATCTGCTAAGGGTACACCTTCCTTGGCTTGGAGTTTAACTGTAGGATCCAATGGTGAGCTGAAGGCACTCATATTCCTTCAGTAGGTCAAGAGCAAACTTTCTTTGAGAGATTATCACATCATCTTACTTGTAGAGAACTTCTAAGCCCATAAAGTAACGTAGTCTGCCCAGGTCCTTGATTTTGAATTGGGAATGTAGAAAGGCCTTCAAAGAGTTGATTTCCTCTTAATTATTCCCTGTGAAAATGACATCACCTACATATACAGCAACATAGATAACATAAGAGTCATATTTCTTGTAAAACAAAGAATAATCATTGAGGGAATATGCATATCCCTTGGAACATAAGGCCTCAACCAACTTAACATACCATTGTCGACTGGCTTGGTTCAAGCCATACAATGATTTATTCAACTTGCACACTAGGCCAGGTGTATCAACCAGCAGTCCAGGAGGCAGGTCCATATACACTTCCTCATGTAAATCCCCATGAAGGAATGCATTGTTAACATCAAGTTGGAAGACACCCCAATATTTCTTTACTGCAGTTGCTATGAGTGCTCTAATGGTTATCATTTTTACAACAGGTGAAAAAGTTTCAGTGTAATCAACACCAGCCTGTTGTGTATACCCCTCTACTTCTAATCTGGCCTTAAATCTTTCAACACTACCATCAACTTTGTGTTTGACCTTATACACCCATCGACAACCTATTGGCTTCTTCCCTGTAGGCAGGGGAACTAAGTCCTAATTGTGATTGGCATGGAGAGCTTCAAACTCTAGTGTGATGACCCGAAAGGTCATTGTAATACCCCAAAAAATATCGAAATACTTAAGTGTAAAGCCCGGTAAAATTTGCAAAGAAAATAATATTTCTTGGTTCCGGACTAGGCTTACGTGTTAAGGATTATCTCAAAATTTTTGGGTTGAACAATGCACAGGAAAGTAAAGGAAAAATTTTGGCGGAAAAGCACATTTATACGGTCCATTATGCGACCGCATAATCACTCTGCAGGCCGCATAATGGCCGCAGAAGTGAGCAGGAGAGGGCTATTCTGGAAGTAGCTATGCGGTCAACTATGCGACCGCATAACTGTTATGCGGACCGCATAGTGACCGCATACACAAACAGATTTTTGATCATTTTTGTAAGCAATTATGCAACCATTATGTGGTCCGCATATCCATTATACGGTCGCATATGCGACTGCAGAACCGTTTCGGAGCTCCATTTTTTGGTTTTTTAAAACCCGACCCTACTTCGTTAAATACACTATTTGGGTCATTTTTGAACTATAATCTGACATTTTAGAGTGAGAGAGAGTGCCCTAGAGTGAGAAGGTGATTATTCAATAATTGTTCTTCAATTCTTGCTCAAGTTTTGGAAGATTAAGAAGGGAAGCTCACTAGGTCTTCATCCTAGAGGTAAGATTCTACACCTTAAACCCTAATTTAGAAATTTTCTGAAAATGTGTAATTAGCAAGATAATTTTTGAGCATGAGAATTGTTTATTTTACATGCATGTGTTATCAAAGGGTGTAGGAAGATTGTTGAGCTAAGAATGGTAAAGATTGGGTTGTGGGATGATGGAATCCTCCATAAAAGGGCCTTGAAACCTTAATGCACACCTAGTGTTTGATAAAATGCTCAAATGAGTTAGAACCATAATCATCTTCCTAATTTTGGTTCAATTTATTATATTTCTAAAATAGATTGAAGTTGCTAAGAATTTCAGAATGTTTTAAAGTTTAAGGAAGCTCAATTGAGGTATGTTGGCTAAACTCTTCTTTAAGAATTGGAATTCCCATTATCCTTGTAAGTTCCAAGATGTTGATTACAAATCGAGTATTCCGATAAGTTTTGTGATAAAGATATATGTTCAATTTGTGTTTCAAATGCTCATATAATATTGCATTATAAATTGAGGATGTGTTTCAAACTATGGATTGTGTATCCACATATTATAATTTCAAGTCGTGATTTATGTGAAAGTTATTATGCCAAGTTATGTAGAGATTGGGATTTTGATACACCTCCACCCACATATATTGGGGTGAGGCGGTATGACCGCTTTGTGTAAGGATTATGGTATGGTGGGACTGCACCTCCACCCGCATACATTAGGGTGAGGCGGTACGACCGCTTTGTGTATAGTTTGGTATTGTTGTGGCACCACCACCCACATATATATATTGGGGTGAGGCGGCATAAACGCTTTGTGTTGGTATTGGTATCGTTGATGAATTTTTACCAGCATACATTGTGGTGAGGCGGTATAGCCGCTTTGTGTTGGTATTGGTATCGTTGATGCATTTTCACTCGCATACATTGGGGTGAGGCGGCTTAGCCGCTTTGTGTTGGTATTGGTATCGTTGATGCATTTTCACTCGCATACATTGGGGTGAGGCGGCTTAGCCGCTTTGTGTTGGTATTGGTATCACTGATGCATTTCTACCTGCAAACATTGGGGTGAGGTGGCATAGCCGCTTGTATAGGTTCTTGGTACTGTGGTTATACATTGGGGTGAGGGGGCAGGGTCGCTTGAGTAGAGTTGTGGTATTGTACTTACACCTCCATCTGCATACATCGGGTGAGGCGACGGGGCCGCTTTGTGTGAAGATGGTTACAGAGGATCTCATCTTAAATCCTATAAATGTTATTGATAGCTCTTAATAAGCTTGCTCTGGTTTAAACGATTATCTATATTATACTATCGCCGCATTGGTTCATCATATTCATCTTGTATTTTTAAATTCTTAAATTGGTGTTTAGTTTTCATACTAGTATTATTCGACGGTACTAACGTCCCTTTTGTCGGGGGCACTACATCTTTAAATGGATGCGGGTGATTCCACAGCAGGAGATATTGATCAGTGATAGCATTACACCTTCTTCCCAGCTGACTTGGTGAGCCCACTTCATCCTGGGGTCATGTATCTTTTGTTCTTTGTGTATTCTGTTTGAGGTATAGCCGGGGCATTGTTGCCGGCATTATCATTGTACTCATCTTTTTCTATAGAGGCTTCGTAGACATAGTGTGGGTTGTATAATAGTGCTAGAGGAGTCAAACTCGTGTGTTGTGCTTGAATTACTATTTCCACTTCAGATTATGAAAAATGTGTTTGGAATTGAGACTTTAAAATAAAGTAACTGATGGTAAGAAATTGGTATTGCAGACATGATCACTTTATTTGTTGATTAACGAAAACATATATATTCTCTCTATTCATGAATGAGTTTGGGTTGAAGGAAATCTAATAGGCTTGCTCGACCGGGTTCACACGGTTGAGCACCGGTTGTGCTCCTCGGTTTTGGGGCGTGACAGTCATCTTATGTGTTAGAACCTAATTCTGCACTTTTAAGCTTTAAACACCTCATTTTATCCTTTCTTGAGTTGTGTTCATAGTCCGGGCATGTTTCCAGAAAGCTGTTATGTTAAAAACTAAAAAAAAGAATTTTTGCCTAAAATTTTTATTTGAGTTGACTTTGGTCAACATTTAAAGTAAACGGACCCAAATTCTTATTTTGACGGTCCCGATGGGTCTGTACCGTGATTTGGGACTTAGGCGTATGCCCGGAATCGAATTCGGAAGTCCCTAGCCCGAGATATCGGACTTTGTCAAAATATGAAAGTTAAAGCCTTAATGAATTCGAAATGTTTGACCAAAGCTTGATTTTTTGGATAACATGTCCGTATTTTTGGTTCCAGAAACCGGTATAGGTCCAATACTATATTTATGACTTGTCTGTCAAATTTGGTGAGAAACAGAGTTGGTTTGGCGTGATTCGGACGTCCAGTTGTTGATATAGAAGTTTTAAAGTTTTCTTGAAAATTTCATTTGATTTGGTATTCAATTCGTAGTTCTAGGTGTTATTTTGGCGATTTGATCATGCGAGCAAGTTCATATGATGTTTTTAGACTTGTGTGCATAGTTGGTTTAGATCCTCGGGGGCTCGGGTGAGTTTCGGATAGGGTACGGAGTGGTTTGAACTTAGAAAATCATAGCTGGTGTATCAGATCTGCAGACTTTGCATTTGCGAGGTCTGGCTCGCAAATGCGAGCCTCGCATTTTCGAAGAGACCATCGCATTTGCGAGCAGTGGGCTGGGGGTGGACCTTCGCATTTGCGATCCTCACAGTCCGCATTTGCGAACACCCTGTTCGCATTTGCGAAGGCATCTAAGATGGAGGAGCTTCGCATTTGCGAAGCATTTCTCGCATTTGCGAACCCCTGGTTGCATTTGCCACATCTGCAGCTGTGTAAAACTTAAGTTAGACGGGATTTTCGGTTCATTCTTCAAATTTTCAAACTCAAGAACCCTATAGGCAATTTTTCAAAGAACGTTTCTTCCCCACAACATTGGTAAGTGATTCTAAACTAGTTTCTTTCAATCTTTCACTACTTTTCCTAAGATTTCAANCGGGTTTGGACCAAGCGGGCTCGGGTGTTGACTTTTTCAATAATAACCTAAATTGAATTCTTTACCCTCGTGGGTAGTTTTTAAGGCTTAAACTGAATCGTTTGGTTGGTAATTTTCTAGATTCTATTGGTTCAGAGGCTTGTGTGAAGGGAAAGCCATGGTTGAGCTTTAAGTTTAGTCGTTAGAGCGAGGTATGTGTCGTGGTTAACCTTGACTTGAGGGAATAAGATTGTTTGTCTATTTGCTACATGTTTAGATGTTGGGTACAACGTATATGTGAGGTGACGAGTACTTATGCGTTGTTGTCGGGTTAAAGCATCCGGGTGGGACTTGGTTTCTTGTAATTATTGCCTTCTTTGATCATGTTATCCATGTTAGACTAGTATTGTTAAATTGATCGTTCTTACCATGTTTAGGGATCTTTGGTGATAATTGAGTATTGATTTCAAAGTTAAGGTTGGTATTGTGGAATCAAATGTTGAAGTAAGACTTGTTCTTGTTATTCTATCTCTCTGTTGTTATTTGTTCATTGCTTTATAGTAAGGGAGAGTGTTAATGCACGAAGGGTAATGCCGTGCCGTTTCTATTGATTTATATGGTGAGAATAAGAGTAAAAGCACGGAGGGTGATGTCGTGACATATGGTGAGA